AAGGAGAGGAGCCAAGATACCTTGAGAGTTTGGGACTGAGCACCTTGCTTCAAAGTGGTACCATTTCTGCAGGAGGGGAACAACCATGGGTGCAGAATAAGGGTACATTCAGAAGACAGTAAGTCTGAGTCACGTGACTCAGATGGGGAGAAGGCAGGACTAGGCAGGCAGAAGAGCAGCAGCCAAGTCTGCTCTGGAGGCGTGCACTGGAGAGTTGGTAATTTTGAAACCACGAATCATTGGTTTCAACACTGAACATCATTGCACTTGGTCAAATAGTGTCTCCTCCAAAGTTCTTGTCCACCAGGAACCTATAAATGTGATCATATTTGGAAATAGGATTGTTTAACAGATATAATCAAGTGAACAGGAGGTTGTATTGAATTGGGAGGTGTCCTAATCCAACAATGGGTGTCTTCATTAGGAGAAAGAAATTTGGACACAAACACACACAGATGGAAGATGGCCAAGGATATCCAGGGGCAGAAGATGGAATTATTCTGCCACAAACCAAAGAACAGCCACGGTCCTCTGCAATCACCAGCAGCTGGAAGAAGAAGGAAGGATTCTTGCCCAGAGCACTTGGAGGGAGCCTCGTGACTTGACTTATGACTTGTGGCCTCCAGAATTTCTTAGAGGGAATCAATTTCTGTTGTCTTCAGCCTGGGCTACTTCCCTGTGGTGGGTCTGGGTCTAGTCTATTGTCAAGGGCGACAAGTAGAAAGTGAACAGAGGAGCCGAGAGGATGAGCCTTTGGGACACCATTCCTTAGAGGTCAGGAAAAGGAGGAAGATCCTTCCAGAGAGATGGAGATGGCACAGGCAAGGGGCAGGAAGGAAGCAGGAGAGGACATGTTCTAGACCCAAGGGGAGCCAAGGACTTCAAGGACAAAGAAAGCCTATGTTCCAGGAAGTGGGTCACAGTGAGGACAGAGAACTGGTCCTTGGACGTGGCCATGAGGAGGTCACTGATGACTTTGATCAGCCAAGTTTCAGTGGAATGACTGGCATGAATGGAAGAATGAGAGGTGAGGAAATGCAGAGAGCAAGCAAGCAAAAATTACCACTTGCCTTCATTCTATAGTCGGCAATCAGCAAATACAAGTTTCTCTCTCTCTCTCTCTCTCTCTCTCTCTCTCTCTCACTCTCTCTCGTACCGGGGATTGATCCCAGGGGTACTCAACCACTGAGCCACATCCCCAGCCCTTTTTTTGTATTTTATTTAGAGACAGGGGCTCACTGAGTTGCTTAAGGTCTCCCTAGGTTTCTGAGTCTGGCTTTGAATTTGTGTCCTCCTGCCTTAGCCTCCCGAGCTGCTGGGATTACAGACGTGTGCCACTGTGCCCAGCTTACTTTTCTTTTACAGCAACCCTGTGAGACAGGTAGCATTATTTACAGAATGGGAAACCAAGTCTCAGAGGTATTAAAGGATTTGTCCAAGTTCCCCTACAGATAGGAAGTGTCCAGGTCTTCAGAAATAACAGTCCACACTTTCCTCCCCATGTATCCAAGTGGCAGCTGATTTGATGGCTGAAAAGGGTTGAGAACAAACTGGTTCTTGCTTGGACCTAAATCATCCAGGGCCTTCCGAGGAAACAGCTGCATTTAAAGAAGGCTTTCATTGGCCTTTCCCTTGGCCGTCTCCAGCGGCAGTGGACAGAGGCCCATCCTTCCTCATCCCTCTTGGAAATGAGGGGACGCACAGAATTGAGGAATGTCGTCCCAGGGGCTGGCTAATCTGCTTCCTCCTCTTCACCCCATACCCTTACTTACGTAGGGGTTGAAAACCACCCACTGGGGCCGGGCAGGGAGTTTACACAGTAAAGTGGGCTTGGGTCAGGCGATGGGAAATGAGTCTGTGGGTGACCTGAGTGCAAAAATCCCATCTGAAGTTGTTCAAATTCCAATTTGAAAAACTGTATGTCACACCAAATGCTGGTGAAAATGGAAATACAAAACAGATCAGCCACTTAGGAAGAGTCCTGCCGTGTCTTATATAACCAGACACGCTGTCGCGGTAAGATCCAGCAATCACACTCCTTGGTGTTTATCCAGAAGAGCTGAAAACTTCTGTCCACACAAAAACCTGCACAGGGGTGTTGATAGCAGCTTTTATTTCTAACTACCCAAACTTGGAAGCCACCGAGATGCCCCTCAGCAGGTGAATGGATAAGTAAACAGTGCCACATCCAGACAAGGGATGAGCATGGAGGAGACGGAAATGCACATTTCTAAGTTAAAGATGCCCATCTGAGAAGGTCACGTACTGCACGGTTCCCACTACCCTGACCTTCTGGAAAACATCAAAGACAAAAAGATCAGGGGTGCCAGAGGGTAAGGGGAGGGAGGGATGAGTAGGTGGAGCACGGAGGGTTTTTAGGGCAAAGAAACTACTTTGCATGATCCTGTCAGGGTGGATACATGTCAAATCTATAGGATGTACAATGTCAAGAGGGAATCCCAAGTGGGGGTGGCAGCACCCTCCTGTAATCCTAGTGACCTGGGGGGCTGAGGCAGGAAGATCGCAAGTTGGAGGCCAGCCTGGGCAACTTCGTGAGACCCTGTCTCAAAATTTAAAAAAAATAAAAAGGACCAGGGGATGTAGCTCCATGGTAGAGCACCCTGGGTTAAACAGCCAGTTAAAAAAAAAAAAAAAGAATCTTAATTCAAAAAGTGGACTTTGGCTAATGATGGCAAGTCAATGTCAGTTCACAGATTGTAACAAATGTTCCCTGTGATGGAGGCTGTTGATTGTGTCTGGGGGAAGGTGTGGGAACCTACTGTACTTTTTGCTCAATTTTGCCATGAACCTAAACCTGCTCTTAAAAAATAATCTGTTAAAAAAAAAAAAAAAGCTGGATGTTTGCCAACAAACGTGACCTGGCTAAAGATAGTCCTGGCCAGTGTGTGAACTCAAATGCTTTAAAAGACCTTATCAAGCTTCTTTTCCCAGGACTTGGGCTCTATCTTGTTTTTCTTTTCTTTTTGCTGTACTGGGAATTGAACTCAGGGCCTTATGCAAGTGAGACTAGTGCGGAGTTGCACCCCTAAGCACCCACCCTCAATGTCACCCTTTTTAAAAAATGTTGAGACAAGTTCTTGCTAAGTTGCTGAAGCTGGCCTCAAATTTGCAATCCTCCTTCTTCAGCCTCCTAAGTTGCTAGGATTATGGGGTTCATCCTTTTACCCCCAAGATCTTGACACAGATGGGTGTCTGGAGCTCACCTATGACTGAAGACTAGGCCCAACAGCCGGGGAAGACATTGTCACCCCACATACCTTGCCCAGACCTTGCCCTTTCTGGAGTGGCCTTCGGCTCCTCTGCCTATGTGAGGTCTATCTGCTCCTCGTTGTCATTATGTCACTGTATTGGCTGTCTCTCGTGCCTCTCTGGAGCTACTTTGCACCACCTTAGGAGGTGACTCTGCATAGACCACATGGCTGTGTTCTGTGATCTCTGGCCAAAGATCTGAAGAAGGGAGGAGAGTGAGGGCGGGGACTTACTGCCCTGCTCCTTCCACACACGGTTGACTCGGCCCCTCAAAGTAAATCTATGGCTCCAGTCAAAATGGTCTCCTGACTTCTGATCCAGCTCTCTCAAGGTGAACTGGGGATTGAACCTAGGAGCATTCTACTACTGAGCTACATCCCCAGACAGGAGTCTCGCTAAGTCCATTGGCTGGCCTTGAACTTGGGACCCTCCTGCCTCACCCCCTGGAGGTGCAGTGATGTCAGGTGGAGTGGGCCACCACACCAGTCAATGCTCCTTGCTCTCACACTGAAGGTCTGGGACTGGCTGCACTTGGTTTCTAGATACTCAGTCTTAGATACTGCACTGTTCCTCGAGGTTACCTGTCCCTACCTTTGTAAGTAGTCCTTTTGAATAATGTCTCCCCAAAATTTATGTCTACCCAGGAACTCAGAATGAGACCTTATTTGGAAAGAGAGTCTTTGTAGATGTAATTAGTGAAGATAAGATCGTATTGACTTAGGCTGGCCCTGAATCCAGTGGTGGGTGTCCTTACAAGAAGGACATGCAGGGCCGTAGGATGGTGGAGCAAGAGACTGGGGAGATGCAGCTAAATCAAGAGCTTCTAAGAATGTTTGGTCACCGGGAAGGTATGCGAGGCCCAGGATGGCTCCCCCAGGTCCTCCGGAAGGGAATCCACTTTGCTGGCACTTCATGTCAGATTTCTGGCTTCCAGAATTGTAAGAGAAATAAATTTGTTATTTTAAGCCACCCAATTTAAGATGATTTTAAACAGCAGCCTTATGCAATAAATGAAGCCTTTATCAAACTTTTTTCAATGTTCCAAGCTTGGGTGGGGATACTCCATCTGTTTCCTGGAGGGACCCATCTGATATTGTTCTCTAGCTTGTTTCTTCTCCCAGAGGCTTTTCATGACCCTCAGTCAGCCCCAAACCCTTACCCTGGCACATGGGACCCCCAGTGGTAGAATTCCACCCTGGTTGGTCGGCCCTCAAAGTAAATCTATTGCTGCAGTCAAAATGGTCTCTTGACTTCTGATCTAGCTCTGCATTTCCCCTGGCAACTTCTGCTGGATTCCTCCACCAGCATCTCATCCATCCCAAAGTCTGGCTCTGCCATTTTCTCCCTGGCTGGAAGCTTCTGGACTCCCTGGCTTGCAGGGAAGGGTCTTATTAACTTTTGCTGTTAACATATTCCATCCACCATGTCTGAACCGTGCCAGGGGTATAGACACTGGTCTCCTGTGTATCTTCTCCCCAGCTAGCTGGCATGCCCCTGAGGGTATGGAGGGTGCCATATTCTTTATTTGAGTTCCCACAGTGATGGGCACACAGGAAATGAGGGCATAGGGAGCCCTGGTGTATTTGTGGTATGGATACTCTTGGTGGACCATCTGGGGAAGAAGCGGAAACTTCTAGGCTCCAAAAAGAACCTGGGGTCCTCAGCACAGTGACTCAACACAGGGGCCCTTGGCACTTAGTAGCCCACGCATCTGTGACATCACAGTAAGGACAGGGGCCTTTAATAACACGAAGTAGATTTTCATGGACTCAAAAAAAGCTAGTGCAAGAGGTAGAGAAAAAGAAGCGTCTTCTCTCTCATCTGTCCTCTCCGTCCCTCCCTCATATTTCAGTCCCCAACCCAGACTGTAGACAAGAATGAGTCTGACCGGCCTTCCCACTCGAGGTGTGTGTTGGAGGGCAGATGCTGGGTCATCTGCAAGCCGGAGGGGAGCAGATGTCTTGTCTCCTTCCTCTTCCTCCCCTTCCCCTTCCCCGGAAAACGCCTCTGGTTCACTGATGTTCCTAGCCCCCAGCTCCCGGCAGCCCCCACCCAGTTCCCAATCTCTTTCTCTCCCTTTTGTAGAGAAAATGAAGAGATACCCTGTTGTAGCATCTGCCTCTACGTCTCCGTTAGAGGAGAACATCCTCTGGGACGATTCTGAGTGAGTACCTCCTCGGGGCAGGGAGCCTGCCCGGGCACCTCCTTGTATCTCTGGAGCCTTGGATAGATCTGGATGTCTCCCCTTTTTAGGAAAGCCTGGCTCGCCAAAGGATCAAGATGGGAGACTGAGGGGATCCTGGGGGCTCTGACCTGTCCCTCACCAGTGATCAAGCATGGCTCTGAGCCCTGCCTCTGTGGGTGCAGCCTGAGGCCCAGGGTAGTGCTGTACCCCCGGCCTCCTCCAGCTGTGCGCCCCACCTATCAGGTGCTTCCCAGCCTGTCCTCAGGGAGGAGGCTGCCATCTCCTCCAGTGATTCTCTTGAAGTCTCAACTCTCCTACAACCTTCCAAAGCCCAAAGCCAAGGCCAAGACCCAACTGCTCTCTTGGCGCAGTGCCACCCAACTGCGTAAGCTGGTGCCCACGGACATGTGGCCTAATGAATTCAGTGACCCACTCTTCAGGTCTTTGCCAGAAGAATCCCTGAACACCTCTATGTACGTGGAAGAGAGCCATATCCCCAGCATGGGAACCATATCCCCAGTGGTATCATTTGTGGAAGGTGACAACTCCTCCCTACCACCCTTATTTAAATGAAAAATTATTTAGTAAATTACGGTCTTTCTCTTGTGTCTACTGAAAGCATGATAAGAGTCTGTTTTAACTGAGAATTTGTTTGATCTCTTTATTTGACTCTCATTTGGGGTTTTCAGGGTTCTTGATTTTACGATTAGGGTTTTTACTCATGACCACCTGTAGCCCTATATGTAGGGGAAAATGTGACCCTTGGATCTTTTTTGAAGTGTTCAGGTTCCAGTGGGCCATGGAATCAGATCCGCTGGAGATCAGTTTCTATAAACAAACTTAGTGGGTGTTGATAGGAATTCCACTGAATCTATGGATGGGTTTGGAGAATGAAAATTACTACAAAATGAATCTTCCTATTTGTAAACATAGTCCAACTCCACATTTACAGTATTTGCCTCTTATCTATGGGGGATAAGTTCCAAGACTCCCAGTGGATGCCTGAAACCATGAATGGTTATTAAGTCTACAAAGCTATGTTTTTTTCCTATGCGTACATATCTGTGATAAAGTTTAAGTCATAAACCATAATAAATTTATAAATTAGGCACAATAATATACTAACAAAAAATGACTAACAGGACAGAATTATAATGATATACTAAATAAAAGTTATGTGAACATGGTCTCTCTGCCTCTCTTCTTTCACCTATTGCAAAATATCTTGCTGTACGTTCACCTTTTCACTTGAAGTACTTTATACAGCTTCTCTTTGATGTATCCAAATTGCCAGTATCACTACTCTTGCCCTTTGGGATTATTATTAAGCAAAATAAAGGATACTCCAAAATAAACACTATAATATCACAATCAGACAATATGGTTACTAAGTAACTAACGGGGAAGTAGTGTATACAGTGTGGATACGCTGGATAAAGGAATAATTGTCCAGCCTGGATGAAGCAGGATGGCAAGAGATCTCAGAATGGTGGGCAATTAAAAACGTGTGCATTGTTTTCCTCTCAAATTTGCCTCTTGATATTTTTTGGATCATGGTTGACCATGGGTAACTGAAACAACAGAAGGAGAGGGGACTACTGTATTTAGGTCTTTAAATTCTCTTAATAATGGTTTGTAGTTTTGGTGTAAAGATCTTGGACATTTTTCATTAGATTTATTCCTGAGCATTTAATGGGGTTTGCTGCTCTTCTAAATTGCATTTTTAAAAATAATTATTCTAAGGAGTGGTGATGGATATAATAAGGTGAAGAGCCTCAGCAATACGTATTCTTTACCTTTTCATGAGACACCTTTTAAAACAAAATTCACATACCACACCATTCAACTACTTAAAACAATACTATTCAGTGGCTTTTGGAATTTTCACATACATATATAACCATCATCACAATTTTAGAATATTTGGATCACCTCAAAAGAACCTCATCTTTTATCTATTACCCACTCTGGCATTTGTGATGACCGGAATGTTTGTATTCCCTAAAATTCATGTTGAAATCAAAGTAATGGAACTAGGAGGTGGGGCTTTTAGGACTGGATTAGATTGTGAAGACAGAGTTCTCATGAATGAGACTACCTTCCTTATTAGAGATGGCCAGACGGCTGCCTGGCCATATCCACTATGTGAGCACCCAGCAAAGAGGCACCATCTGTGGGAACCAAGGCCCTCAGCAGACACTGGATCTGCTAGCACATTGATCCTGGGCACCTCAGCCTCCAGAACTATGACCAATAAATTTCTGTTGTTTATAAGCTATCTAGTCTGTGGTATTAGGCCAGACTAAGAAGCATTGTTTCAAAAAATTATTTTCTAGCCAGACACAGTGGCAAAGGTCTGTAAGCTCAGTTACTTGGGAGGCTGAGCTAGGAGGATCTGAAGTTCAAAGCCGGCCTCTGTAACTTGGGCCTTAAGCAACTTAGTGAGACCCTGTTTCAAAACAAAAAATAAAAAGGGCTTGGGATTTAGCTCAGTGGTAAAGAGCACCCGAGTTCAATCCCCAGTACCAATTAAAAAAATTTTTTTTAAATATTTAGTTTTCGGCGGACACAACATCTTTGTTTGTATGTGGTGCTGAGGATCGAACCAGGGCCGCACGCATGCCAGGTGAGCGCGCTACCGCCTGAGCCACATCCCCAGCCCCAATTAAAAAAATTTTTTTTGGTAACTTTTTGTGATATGGAGAAGTAGAATTTAGTATATTAACCTTGTCGTATTCAGTGACTTGGCTAAATTCACCTACAGTGCTAGTCGTTTATAGATTCTATTGAGTTTCCCATGTTCACAACTGTGTCATCCATGAATGAAAAAATATTTCTCCTTTCTCTTCTCAATCCTTAAGGCTTTTATTTTTGGCTGGGATGCCTATATTGATTAGAAGTATAGATGGGTGGACATCTGTATCTTGTCCTGGTGAACATGGGCCTGCATTTCTGTTGGGGCCATGCCTACTTTTGGATGCTGGGTCACAAGATATGTGTGCTTCAGCTTTTTAGACACCAGCAAAATTTTCCAAAGTTTGTGTATGTGAAGCCTTTAAAGGCCAGAGTTGGTTAGCACTCCCCACTCCCCCAAGGCCTCTTTTCTGAAGACTGGGTAGTTCAGCTTCTCTGAAATCTTTCAGATGACTATGCCTGGCCTAAGAAACTTCATTATAGGGAAATGATGTCAGAGATTAAAGAAGGGACCATATAGATCTCAAGTCTAAGCCTTTCCCAGGAAGACATTAACTAAAGCTGAGCCTAGGATTGACTGGTCCAAGGAGGTGTGGCTTTAGCCCTGCTGAGAACCCAAGTTTCTGAACTCTGGATCCCCCATATTGCTTTTTGAGTACCTGAAGGGAGGTGTTCATCTGGAAGATGATGGGATGAAACTAGATGCTGGGTGGGACCCACCAGGATTATATGCTCAGTGTAAGAGTGGGGAGGGGGAGGAGGGATGGTGGCTGTCTTGCTCCATATTTTCCTTGAGTCTGGGTTGAAGCCAAGGAAAACACCAGCCCAGCTCCTCCTCCCACCAGGGAAGTCAAAGTGAGGGCTTTACAATTAGAGTCTGGAAAATCTTCCACCTCACATCCTCCCCTGGTCCAGGGAGGGGAGGGCTGGCTCTGCTGGCAGTAAGGACAGGCGTTCCAGGGTCTGGAAACAAGATGGACTTCCCCCTCAAGGGGCCCACAATCTTTGGTAAAACCAGACAGACCTTGGGCGTAGAGCAAAACCCATTTATTACGCACTGAAATCCCATCCACCAGGAACCTGGCTCGAGAGCCTTGGGCTAGCCTCCAGCGGAAACGGCTCTGCCGGGAGACCCACAGCTTCAGTCTGTCTTACCTGGTGCCCCAGACCCACCCCTATTCCTGCAGCCCTTAAATTTCCGCAGCATCTCAGCCCCACCTCCGCCTCGCCTGAAAGTCGATTTCCTTAAGAAGTGGTTTAAGTCGATGAGCCGTAGGGGAGAGAAGACGCATGCTGTCCTCCGCCCAAAGCCCCTTGTATTACGCCCCCTTCCTCGGCCCAGAGGTCTTCACCTGGTGGCTGAGACTTAGGAACGGAATAAATAGGGGTTGCTTTTCTTTGCAAACTCTTTTGGCACCCCCATCGACCCTCCCTAACCAGCTGCCTTCCCGCCCCAGCTCCCGCGCCGGGCTGGGGCGCCAACTAAATCTGATCAAAATGCAATTGCCAAGTCGTTAAGGTATTTGAATTTAAAAAAAAAAAAAACTCCCGAGAAAGAAAGTATTTGATGGCTAATAATCTCATTTCAATATAATGGGACCTTCTTCTGCAGAGAGCAAGACAGGTTAAGAGATATAATTATGACTTTGCAAACTCTCTCCCAAGCGCGGGAGACGCGCTGACAGGTCTGCGCGCGGCTGCGCCGGGCTCCGCTCGCTCCAAGGGGAGACGCTTTGTCTGCAGGGCCCGTTAAAGAGACACGGTCCCTTTTCCCCCCCTCGGCCTACATTGCAATTTAACTGTCAGCTGCGTCCTCGTCCGGGGATCAGAGTCTGAGTCCCGCTAGAGGGTGGGGGTGGGATGGGAGAGGGGCACCGGACTTGGAGGAGGGAGAGCGAGGGGGCTGACCTGTCAAACGTTGCCCTAGATACTCGGAGCTAAGCTTTCAAACCTGCTCCCTTGGGAGTTCCTTAAGGTCACGTCTACAAGGGAGGGTCCGGGAGGAGCAATGATGGCGGAGTTAGGCCAAGCAGATTTATCGCCTGTCTCGAAGGTGGCGCTTTTTGAAGGATCCAAAAGGAACAGATTCCTTCTCGCCAGAATTGCTCGGTGTCTTCGGGCGGAAAGGAACCCATTTAGGAAGTCGGGAATAGGTGGCGGTGGTGCTGTAGGATGTTTCTTTCCCTCTACTCTCTGGGCAAACTTTTTCTTTTACTACAATGGGAGAAAAATTCTCTTTTTGAAGTCCTGATAGGGACTCTTCCGGGAAAGAAGAATTCTCCCGAGTGTACATCCGACTTTCACGAAAGTGCAAGGAAGGGTATCTCTAAAGCGATGTGCACGTGCGTGTGCGGGGAAGGGTAGTGGAGGCAAGCGAGGGTCCTGCGCCCTTAATGAGTATTGATTGCCGTTCAGGTCTAGAGCGACCGCGGGAAAGTCAAGGCCTTGAGCTCCAGAGGTGTCTGAGACCCCTGAAGCCAACGAGCTGCGTAGGGCAGCGCGGAGAGAGCTGTGCGAAAGTGCATGTGCGTGTGAGATGTGTGAGCAATGCTCCCGGGAGAGCGCTTGACTCCCAGCCGCTCGAAATAATTGGGAGCTGGAAAGCTCAGGCAGGAACGCATGGAGACTGCACTTAAGACAGGCTATCAGATATGCCTGTCCAGCGAAAAGGAGCTGGGAATAAAGGGGACCGAGAGCCCGCGGTGTCGGCCTCTTTGCTTGTCTGGGATTCTCACCAAGCAGATGGGAGCTTTCCTTCGGACATTTTCTCGCGGCTCTTGGTGATGTCCAGGTTTGCAATGAAGGGATTCGGACAGGGTGCACCACTGTCCCTCCCCAACACTCCGAGCCCCGGGGCTCGGGAGCCCCCTGAATGGTAGCCTGTCAGGACTAAGGCCGTAGCGATTCCCAGGGCCTCTACGACGGGCGACACCGCCGGGCCACGCGGCGTAAC